GTTTTGTGCATTGAGATGACTTATAAAATCATTAAGTATATCTATACCATGTGGCCAGACAACCAAAGTGTCATCCACATATCTAAACCAAAAAGATGGTTTTAATGTACTCGAGGCAAGTGCTCTTATTTCAAAGTTTTCCATGTACAGATTTGCTATAGCAGGAGATAAAGGAGAGCCCATTGCTGCTCCTTTTGTTTAAAGAAATCCCCTCTCCATAAGAAGTATTATTTAAACAATGGTCAGCAAGTTTCGGAATATATTTTGGTAAACCTGTATTTTTTACTAGTGTATCAAGTAATCTAAGCGATTCGTTCACTGGAACCTTAGTGAATAGAGAAATCACATCAAAATTTACCAAAATATCATTAGGATTAAGTTTAATATCTTTACTAACATTCACAAGATGTTCTGAATATCTTATGAATGAAGATGTCCTACCGATGTAGGGCTGTATTTGTTTAGTTATATATTTTGCTAATTTATATGTGGCAGAGCCAATTGTACTGACTATGAGTCGTAATGGGATGCCGATTTTATGAATCTTTGGTAGCCCATACAGTCTAGGTCAGTGGTTCTTAACCTTGTTGGAGGTACCGTACCCCACCAGTTTCATATGCGCATTCACCAAACCCCTCTTTAGTGAAAAATAAAATGTGATTTTTTTCAAATTCAAGACGTAGATATGTTTTTTACTGGTACACAAAATGAGCCGTGCATGAACATTACCTTGTTCAAAGAATAAAACCAACACAATGCATAAACTCACAACAAATTACATACCTGGAAATCAATGTGACTTCTGCTGTTGCCTTTGAGAGATCAGTTCAGATATGCATGGCTTCACCTTGGCAAGTGCCACTCTCATGTCATTTTCACAGCAAAGTCTGTTCCTTTTCTTCGTTTTTATGTCCAGCATCCTCGAAAAGGATTGCTCACAAAGATATGTTGTAACAAATGGTATTAAAAAATCCAGGGCTTTCTTAGCAATAACTGGATACTTGTTCATTTGTCGACACCAAAACGTTGAGAGCGTTGTTGTTCTGAAGAGTTGCTGTTGAACCTGGCTCTGCTGAATTTCAATGATTTCGTCGAGGAATTCATCATTGACATCTGCTGTTTCAACAGCAAACGTGAACGGCTGTCTCACCCATGCTGGATATGACTCTCTTGTAGGGAAATATCCGTCGAGAGACTTTGCAAGCTCATCTAAGTGCGTGGCAATTGTTTGCTTCAGTTCCGTGGATACAGAAATATCTCCGATTCCAGACACATCTTCGATCTTACTTGCACAGTCGTCCAGAAGCGGGAAGTTTGCGAAGTTATTGTTCTCTGTTCGTCGTTTCCATAACGGTAGCTTTTTTTGAAAAGCCTTCAGGTGTTCTTCCGCTTCCATGATATTGACTCCACCACCCTGCATCTGCTGATTGAGATGATTGAGAGCTGCGAATATATCAGCCATGTACGCTAAAATGAGAATGAACTCAGGATTTTTGAAGCAATCTGCATGGCAGTGTTGGTGCTCTTGCAAAAACAGGGCTAATTCCACACGCATGGCAAAAACACGATTCAGCACCTGTCCCCGGGATAACCACCGAATATTAGAATGGAGCAGAAGTACCTCAAATTCAGAGCCCATTTCTTTACACAGCTCACTGAAGATGCGGTGCCTCAGAGCACTTTTTCGCACATAGTTCACACATTCCACCACAGTTTTTAATACTTCTGTCATTTTTGGAGGTAAGGTTTTGTTGCCAACGCATGCCTGTGCAGAATACAATGCGTCACAATGATGTGTGGTGCATCGGCCTTTACTAGCGCACCAAAACCAGACTTTCTTCCCAGCATGACTGGAGCTCCGTCCGTACAAACTGCAGAAACCATATCCCATGAAAGATTGTTGTCTCTGAAGAAGTCATCCACAAGCTTCTTCACATCGGCTGCCTTCGTTGTTGTTGTAAGAGGCTTACAAAATAAAAACTCTTCTTTTATCATGTCGTCTTTCACATAGCGTACAAAAACAGCAAGCTGGCTTAGATCAGAAACGTCTGTGGTTTCGTCGAGTTGAAGACTGAATTTTGCCGGGCTTGAAATCAGATCCGCGACTACTTGAGCCAAGATGTCTTTACTCATGTCTTCTATTCTGTCACTGACGGTGTCATTTGAAAGGGGAATTTGGGATAATTTACCTTCGGCCGCTGTTCCGAGTATCAGATTCGCCATCTTTAATGCAGCTGGTTTCACAAGTGTTTCACCAATGGTGTGTGGCTTGCCCTGCTTTGCGATCAGGTAAGCAACTTCGTACGATGCTGTCAGGATCGGTTTGTTAACAGGTACAAATCCAAGAGCAGGCAGAGTGGCCCTTTCATCGAATCTGGCTCTCTTCACCCTGAATTCAGCAAGTGTTGTGTTCTTGTATTCCCCGTCTCCATGCAGCTTCAAGAAGTGTTCCTTTAGTTTTGCCGGTGCAAGACTAGAGTTGCTCAACTTGGCGTTGCAAATCATGCAGATAGGACGCTCACTCCCATCACGTTCCGTGATACATGAGAATCCATGTTGTACATATTCGTCCGACCACTTTCTTCTTTTGCCCGACATAGTATGGATAAAATATTAAAGAAATCACACGACGTACGACAACAACAGTCACACGTTGACTACTGAGTACGCACTAAATTCCCCGCAGCGCTGATTGGCCAAGCAGTGTAGCATGATCATCTGCAGCCAGTGATGGCCAAGCGGGCCGTGTGTGTCATCACAAATTTACACAATAATTCAAGTGTGTCCGGACCTCCGTGGCGGGGGCTCTGCCGAACCCCTGAGATCGACTCACCGAACCCCTGGGGTTCGATCGAACCCAGGTTAAGAACCACTGGTCTAGGTGGTTTTGAGGCCCTTGGCTTAATTTGGTATTGCTCATTCTTAGGGATTAATGAATTTGCAATTAATGCAGTAGTCTTACGTTCTAAAGTATTAGTTGGATCTCGTTTAATTTTAATGTAGGTACTTTCCTCTAGGAAATTTCTAATTTAATTATCATAATCGGCGTGTGACATCACTACAGTAGCGCGGCCTTTATCAGCTGCCAGGATTTGGATATCTTTATTTACACGGAGCTCCCTTAAGGATTTTGCTTCGTTAGAGCTAATATTTACTTTTGGAACTTTGCTATTCTCAATTATTTTGGCAACCTCGTGTCTAGTCATCTCTGCCTCATTATGTGGAAGGAGTCTTACTGCTGATTCTACCTCAGCAATTATCTCATCCACTGGAATTGTGCATGGGGTAACGGCAAAGTTAAGACCTTTAGAAAGGACAGAGATCATGTCACTGGTTAAAACAGTGTTAGTCAAGTTCATTACGTTTCGATTTAAAGCTTTCGTGACTGCAGGGAAGCATCTTCTTTGGTTCTTTCGGTAAAGTCACGTCGTGATAATTTTATTGTCATATTTTTTATTTTATTATTTTATTCTCATTCTACGTGACTTTACCGAAAGAACCAAAGAAGACGTTCATTACGGTTTTGTTTTTAAATTGTTCGTTTTTAGTAGGGATTTGTTTATTATGAAGTCTAGAAAATTTCTCCATTTGGTTAGTTTTTGTTAGATTAAACACATTATCAGCCGATTGTTGTGTTATGGTATCGATTATATTCCAATAATGCATGGATACACCATTGCTTATATCTAAGTGTAACTGCTTTAGCGATTCCGAAATGTAAGATAATTCACTCCTGTTGTGCTGTATTCTCTCTATTAATAAAAAATTCGCTAGCTTTGTGTAGTATTTGGTTAGCTTTAGAAGACTGTATGTGATGTGTTATTTTAACTACGTTTGGTATTACCTTTGAATCTCTGTACCTTTTGAGGAACGCCAGTGAAGATATCAATTTCATCTGCTTAATGCGGAGCTTCTCCAACTTTCTGGTTTTAAGAAAAGTATCCTCCCCATAGAGGTTAGTCAGTGTAACACGTAGGCTTTCGCGACCAATATTATTCATAATAAAGGTTTTTGGATTATATCGCGTTATTTATAAATGTGTCGTAACCCTCCACCACCCGACACGGCCAAACAGTAAAACATGTGTCACGTTTACAAAGGACAAATGGTATGTGTTGAAGAGTGAATCAACATCGTTTAAAATTTGAGTACAACGTTTCGCTGGTAATTACATCCAGCATCATCGGGCAATTCGCCAGAATGGTAAAGCCCTCACTTGCTCCCGGTCTTAAATCATCTCAATACTCTAATTTTAAATGATGTTGATTCACTCTTCAACACACCGGTGGGCTAAAGTAGTGAACTATTTTGTCTTTTGTCAACGGGACACATTTTTTACTGTTTGGCCGTGTCGGGTGGTGGAGGGTTACGACACATTTATAAATAACGCGATCTAACCCAAAAACCTTTATTATGAATAATATTGGTCGCGAAAGCCTACGTGTTAGACTGAACACAACAATAATAGCAACACAAACAACAACAGCAAAAAAATAACAACAATAACAAAAAATCATCAGGGGCCGTCCATAAATGACGTCACGCACCTGGGGGGGGGGGGGGGGGGTCAGACATTTGTGACGATGTGTGACGAGGGAGGAGGGGGGAGGGGTTTGAGAAATGTGACGTCACATCAAAATGCGCAACTTTAAATAAATATAGACAACACGTTCTACTCAATTAAATAGACTTTTAAATAAATGTTATCTCCTACAACATCAGAGTGCGGCGCCACATTAAATACGCACTACAATGACAATAGTTTAAAGCGATTTGAAGCATGTTTTATATATTTGGGGGGGGGGGGGGGGCAGAGCTTTGTGACGTCATATTTGAGGGGGGGGGGGGGGTCTGACTTTTTGTGCCACCGTGTGACGAGGGGGGTTCAAAAATCGTCCAAAATCGCGTGACGTCATTTATGGACGGCCCCTAACAACAACAACAACAACTGTTAATGGTCGCGCCGCTCCCGTCCCATCGTCCCCCACCGCACGGCGCAGCAGGGCGACCTCAACTCGTTCCTGTGGCGCGTCGAGCGCTCCCCGCCGGCCTTCCTCTTCGGCACCGTGCACGTGCCCTACGAACGCGTGTGGCCGTTCGTGCCGGGCAACGCGAAGCGAGCGTTCGCGCTCTCGCACAGCGTCTACTTCGAGCTCGACGTGTCGGAGCCGCGGACCCTGGAGGCCCTCTCGGCCTGCCAGAGGCTGCCACACGGCGAGACGCTGCCGGGCGAGGCGCTGCCGGTGGCCCTCTACTCGCGGCTCAAGGTACGGGGGTGGGGGGGGGGGCAGCACGGCGGGCCCCCCCCCCCACCACCACACACCCACCCACCCCAGCCTCAAGCTGTTTCCGTTGTTTTGAGTTTTGTATTTGAACCGCGGCGGTGGTTAGGAGATGTTAACAACATCGCCCGGAATACAGGAGGTCGTCGATTCGATCTCCACCGTATTTGCAACTGTAAATTTGGAGTTTTGCATATTCTCTCTCTCTCCCCGTGGTCGCGTGGATTTTTTTCCAGGTCCTCCGGTTTTTCCCTCCATATTTAGAATTAACATCACGCGTTTAAAGTATATGGCTACTATACATTTCCACGTGATAAGCCCCTTCGTTGAGCTACCCTATGTGACCAGGTTGATTCTGAAACATAACGAGCCTTACGTTTCCTCTCTAAGCTATGTATATGGGTGCCACGGTGGCAAAATGTGAATTACCTCGCCTGGCATACTGGAGGTCGTGGGTTTGACCCTGACACATGTATATTTGGAGGATGTGTGTTCTCTCTCTCCCCGTGGTGACGTCAAATTTACTCCGACTCCTCCCGGTTTTTCCTTCCACATTTCGAATTAACGTCGCGCGTTCAGAGTATTTGGCTGCTATAATTTTCCACGCAATAAGCCACTTCCTTTAGCTATCATCTGTGACCAGGTCGCTTCTGAAAGAGAGCTGTATAGTTCAGTGGACCTTAGCTGGTAAAATAACAAAACAAAAATAGCTTCGGTTTTAAAATAAATAATCGATTTCGTAGATTTGGGTTCTTATGGAAAGTTTTGGATATGCTTTTTTATTTTCGATTTTGCAGATCGTTTGCCACGCTGTACTGACCTTCAAATGCATTCGTGCTAGGGATAGTGATGTCACACAAACGCCTGGTGCCGTCAGAATGACAGAAGTGATGGTGTGGGATTGACATCACTTTCTGTGACGTCAGGTTTTGTATCAACGGTAACGCTTACTGGTTTCGGAATCTTCCAAAGTATCTATATTTTTTTGTTATGAATTGCTGATCCAGCATAATACAATTATATATTTAATATACATTCGAGAGCCAAATGGATGGAGAGGGTCGCACAGATGAGAGGGTAGAGGCGTTGAGGGCAGAAGAGTGAGATAAGAGGGGAGAGGAAGGAGAGTGCGTGGATGGCAATAGAGGGAGATAAGAGGGGAGAGATAGGCAGTGATGAGTCTATGAAGGATCGTGAAGATGGCGAGCTGCATCTTGTATGTATGCTGAACTTCTTTCGTACCGTACGTAGCCAACCGTGCCCATCGGAGGTGTGGGGGGAGGGACACCAAACTAACACACACAAAGCAGTTCTAAAGAAACAGGTTTTCAATCTTGACGTTCATTCGAGGAAGATGGAGCGTTGCGCACGAAATGCTCAACGGATCCCCGAAACCTTCCCTCCTGTTACACCTCTTCCGCACCCTCCTCATCGCCACCACCACCACCACCGCCGACCGCTCTCTCCTCCCTCCCCAACGCGCGCAGCATCACCTGGAGTACGTGCGGGGCATGATGCCCGTGTGGCTGAGCTCCAAGCCGGCACCGGCGTCTCGGTTCCACGACGCCGATGCCGGCGGCGGCGGCGGCGGCGGCGGCCCGAACGGCGCCGCGTCAGCCGAGCTGCTGTTCCGTGCTCTGGCGGGCGACTGGGAGCGCAAGCGTCCCGTGTGGCTGCTGCTGCTGGCGGCGTCGCTGACGGAGGGCGACGTGCGAGGGCGGCGGGTGCCCTCACTGGACGCGCACCTCGCGCGGCTCGCGCGGCGGCTGCGCAAGAGGAGCGGCGCCGTCGAGCGGGTCCACGAGCAGTGCGCGCCGCTCAACGCCATCAACGGCACGCAGGTGAAGTCACGGCCGGCTGGGGGCAGCCGCCAGCTTTAACGGGGGGGCGGGTTATATATGTAGTGGAGTAGGAAGGTGTGCTGGGGAAACTGCGCGATTGTATTGATCACACGGTACAGTGTGGGGTTTATCTGGGGTCAGCTTGAGGAGACTGCGGAAACAGTGGGGTCGTGTTAGGACAGCCAGGTGAAGAGGCTGGGGTGATGACGTAACGGTCGGGCCAATTAAGCCAGAAGTTGCTGTGATTGGTTGGTGCTGTTGCTGGGGCCCGAGGAGGCGTCCAGGTGTCTGGAAAAAGGGGCAGGTGGTTGAAGACGCGAGGCGTGCGGAGGCACGCGGACCAATTAATTAGCGATAATGAGAATGGGGATAAATTGGGGGGAGACAGAGAGAGAAGGGGAAGATTGGAGTTGGGAGCTGTGCGGTGAAGACGTGGAGTTCGGAAACAGAGTTTAGAAGAGAGTTGGATCATGGTGATAGCGAAGCCGAAGCAAGACGAAGCAGTTAGCAGTGGAGAGAGCGTAGTGATAGAGGAGCTGGAGACGAGGCGTGTGGAGACAGAGAAGTGAGATTGGGTTTCGCTGTGTGCGACGACGCTGTATAGCGGAGGAGCTGAGGAGGACAGCCAGCAGTGGAGAGAGCGTAGGAGTAGAGTTGAAGACGTGTGTGTGCGGAGCAGAGCGACGTGATACTGGGAACCAAGGTGGTGAGCGAGACGGGCGAAGCATGGCGAGCGAGCCGCGGTGTCCAGGATACGGTGGAGTGTGGAGAACGTGTTAACGATGAAAATTAATAAGTGGTTGAAGAAAGACAAAAGTTGTTCGTGTAAAGTTCAACCACTACATATATATAAAAACACGTGTGAATAATAATTATGATTATCGTTTTAACAAATCGACGCTATCCCCGATCGCGGTTGGGAAGGGGGTGGGGGAAAACAACAATCAGAATGTCACGGGCAAAATCAATAAAAAAAAATGCACGTGAGACGGCAGCGGTTGAAATAGAGAGTGGGGTTGTTGTTGTTGTCGTTGTGAAAAGTGGTGGTGGTGTAGTTAGGGTGACACTTTGGAGGACAGGCGGGAGAGGTTTGCGAGGGGTTTGGATAGGGGTGGTTTTCAAGTTTCATTTATTAGGTATAGCCCTACTCTTTGGTTCTATTCGGTAAAGTCACGTGACTTTACCGAATAGAACCAAAGAGTATAGATCCTTGCAGTCACGAAAGCTTCAAATCTAGAAAAGGTATAGCCCTGTGAGCCATGCGGCTCTTAAGTCGGGTGCAACCGCAACAAACAAAATTTTAACACAGAACATCCCAAAGCGACGATGATTGGTGTTGGGGTAGTGATAGGGATAGGGGTAGTTATAGGGATAGGGGTAGTTATAGGGGTAGGGTAGTGATAGAGATTGGGCTAGGCCTTGTCGTAGCTGGAGGTGGGGGCAGAGAGTAGCAGTAGAAGCATGATGATGCTGGGCTACGAGAAAAGACTTGGGTTGTTTTAAGGGAGGAACAGAAGCAGGTTAGTGAATCAGACTCAGAATGTGTATTTATACTGGAGAATTCCGATTAACTATACAGCTCTTCTTCACAGATGACCAGTAGGGGCGGGTAAGAATATTACTACAACAAACAGTCCACAAACACGATTGTAGCGCAGAGTACAGGAACGGTAAACAAATCACCCAAAAACATACAAATGAAACTGAACCATCCCTATCCTACCAGGCAAAGCTCACTGAGGTGTTAACTCATTTTTCGAAGCAACCTGGTCACGAATGATAGCTCACCAAAGTGGCTTGTCACGTGGAAATTTATAGCAGGGCTAAACGAAGGGGGGGGGGGGGGGTGAGGATTGGGCAAGCCCACCGCTTTGTAACAAGAACCCCACTCTTTACCATGAACCTACGTACGTTGAACTTTTCTCGGCAACGTACGTAGCCGACCACGCTCATCGGTGCTGCAGGGCGAAGGGCAACAAACTAAACGACAAAACGAAGTTCTGAAGGAATGGGTTCGTCAATCGAGATGATTTAAAAGGTGCACGGCTACCAGTGGCTTCTTAATCCCGGAAGGAAGAGCGTTCCAGACGGCCGCAGAAGCGTGCCTGAAAGCGCCGCGCGTTGCGGTGACCTCGGTCCTTGTTCGGTGGTGAGAAAAAAAAAGGCCGCTGTTGTGAGGATGGCCGGCGTTTGCGTGATGGCTGATGCTCATCTCAACATGATCGCTGTTACGTTGCAATTATGGCTTTATTTTTTGGTGATTTCTAAACGTTTTTTGGTTTGGACATGTTTGTTTTGTTGTAGTACGGAGTTAGACTGATGGCCTTAATCTAAGTTTTTGTGGTTGTTGTTGTTTGACTTGCATCTCACTTGGATATTTTGCACAAGCGTTGGTGTACGGTGCTTTTTTCAGGAATATTTTAGCTGTTTTTTTTTCCATGGATTTTCTGTGCTCAGATTGTAAATGTTGTGGATTTATTCTCCAACACACAACCGGTGTGCTGTACTCGTAACGAATTGGCTACGTTCTGTTCACGTGACAAACCTTACTAATAATTGGCTGTGTCGGGTGGTGGCGGGTTTAACGACACATTTATATATTCACGCGACCTCTGTTATGAGTGTTGTGACACGTCGCTTGCCGAGCCGTTTCAAAGTGGCGGTTGGTCTCGTGTGACCGTGGTGAAGTTGAAGCGAATTACCGGGCCGCGTCTGGCCCCCGTGGACCCGGTCGCAGCTCACCCCCGCCCCACGCTTCGTGTATGGCAATGTGACAGGGGTGGTGGTGGTGGGGGTGGTGAGCGGGGCGGATTGAGGGCGCGTTTCTAATCGAGCTGTGAGATTGTTGCCCGCTTGTCGCGACACGGGCGCGCAGCACGTGTTCCGACCGCGGAGCGACGCACGTTGACCCAACACAAACACAAATCACAAGCAGCCTCGCCCTAAGTGGTCGCAGCCCGCTCGGAAGCCATGCCAATTGGGAGGCAGAGGGCATTTGTGGCTCGGCATGTGCTTTGAATTTGGGGGGGGGGGGGACGACGACACACACGTGTCTCCCGTCTTCCTCGCCGTTCACTCTCTCATCTCCCGTGTCCCGCTGTCGTCTCACCTCATTCCCTCCCCCTGTGCGTTGGCCGCGGTGTCTCACTTTGTGCTTGAGTTAAGGGTTCTTTCCGGGTATTCTATATTTCCCCCGGCATGCGAAGCGCCCGTTAAAAAAAAATGTGTTCGGTCGAAATATCGGCCGCTTCGCGCGCGGGACCCTTCTGTGGCTCGGTGAGGATTCAAATGTTCAATTTGATCGCAGGAAGTGGGCCCACTTGATGTTTTCCCGTGCGTGTGTACGGAGGGAATGGTGGGGCCCTGTTGTTTGCACCCTGTGCTACGACGCCATTTGTCTGAGTTTGATTCTGGGCCATGGTTACATTTTAACGCCAAGTAGTGTTTGCACCTTTCCATGACTCACCGAGGTTGTTTAGCCAATTCTTCGTTGGGTAGTTAGTGAATTTTTTGAAGTAAACGGAGCGCCAGGACATCACCAACGCTACACGAGGGGACACCATTCAGACCATCTGTTGTACAGGTCGCTAAGCAACCTACTTGTTGTACAGCCATCTAAAATTTAACCACTTCAGTGGCATAAAAGTTAAGAGTCTCACTTGCCCAAGGATCCCTGCATGACTGCTGTGGCAAAATGCTCGATGAGAATTGTGCACGCATTTTGTGTACAGTACTGTATATGCAATACGTACCACTATGAAGTGCAACAATGACATCAATTTGCGTGCAGGTGCTACACGGATTATTACATTGCATGATCGTGAGCGGTGGCTCGGGGAGTGAGCATGGTCGATCGTATGATTATTATTATGCTTATTCTTGGTTCTTTCGGTAAAGTCACGTAGAAGGGAAACAATAAAATAAGTAAAATAATAATAAAAAATATATAATTCTCACGACGTTTCGACTGCAACACAAGTAATTATCATCAGGTGTGAAAACCACAGCAAGAACATTTTTTTGCTGTGGGTTTCACACCTGATGATGATTGCTTGTGTTGCAGTCGAAACGTCGTGAGAATTTTATTGTTTTATATTCTGTATTATTTTATTGTTTCCCTTCTACGTGACTTTACCGAAAGAACCAAGAATATGAATCCCTGCAGTCACGGAAGCTTAAAATCAAAATTATGATGCTTGTTTACCCAGGAAAGCCTTGCCGAGTATCAACCGTTTTCAGGAGGGTCCTGCAAAGTGCTCAGAGGAAGGAGTGACGATTGCTTCCCAAAGAAGTATTTCACTTTTTCAAATGTGAACCCTCATCTAGCATTTGCTTGTGGGCCACAACCCTCAAACCGCATCCGCACACCAACCGTGGCAAGTAGTAGCAGATGCCGACAGCTGACGATGCACAGATGGGAGACGGGAATCTCTACCGGTCAGCGGGCAACTGCGGTCACGCTGGACAGCCCCGTGGAACTGCGTGATGGCCCAATGCGCGATACACAAACACGGAAGGGGGCATGAACCGCAGTGCCTCGCTGATCTTGGCTAGGAGCATAAACCACCACGCCAAGTCCGCTCTTGCTCACGGCGGCTTGTGACTTGCCATCGAACAAAGGCGGTCACTGCATCGCGCGCTTTCAGATGCGCCTCCTGCGGACCGTCTGGAATACTCTTTCGATATTCAAAAGCTACTGGAGCTTTGCAATTTAAAATCTAGATTTAAAACGAATTTCTTTAGGATTGCTTTATTGTGTGTAGTTTGTCGTCCTTCCCACGCACCTCCAATAAGCGCTGTTGGCTACGTACGGTGTGAAATTAGTTCAACATACGTACACAGCAGCAGCAGTAGCAGTAATGCAGCCATTCCGCTACTCCTGATTTCAATTATCTGGCTCAACCACTGCAATGGAAATGACAGCTGTCGCTCTACAGCGGTGGTTCTTAGAGTGCGGTCCCCAGTCCAGCAGTGGTCCACGACGGTCCTCGAGGAGATCGTCCGCGGTGGCTGCGATGCGAACGCACTTTGGTCGGGACAATAATAACAATGTTTATTATACCTTTTGTTTCGGACATTAATTCATGTTTAGTGAGATTTTATTTTTAAATGAAGTTAACGTAAACCTACTCTGATGAAACTACCCTAACTATAAGATCTAAATGTCGCCCCCAACCTAAAAAAAAGTTCAATAGCTGAGTTTAAAAACATGTGTTTACTTTCCGGTAATATGTATAATCTTGATTTAAAGCTTTCGTGACTGCAGGAATCCATACTCTTTGGTTCTTTCGGTAAAGTCACGTGGTAGGTAGAGAAATAATAAATAAATAATAGATCACGACGTTTCGATCGCAACACAAGCAATCGTCATCAGGTGTATAATGTTTAACACGTAGGCTTTCGCGACTAATATCATCCATAACAGAGGTTTTTTTGGGTTAGATCGCGTGAATATATAAATGTGTCGTTAAAACCCGCCACCACCCGACACAGCCAATAAATAAAGTTTGACATGTAAACAGAACCTTACTAATTGGCTTTGTCGGGTGGTGTCAGGTTTAACAACGCATTTATATTTAAGCGATCGAACCCAAAAACGTCTCTTTTGGATAATATTGGTCGCGAAAGCCTACAACTTTAAAACAGTTCTCTCTCTTTCTCTGATAAAAAATAAAAAAATAAAATTGAGAACCACTGGTCGACTACATCGATATCAGCCATACGAACAAGAAGAAATGAATGGACGATCAGTCGTAGGCAGAGCGGGAGTATGACATGCTTCACCACGATGCCAGATAGTTCATCCATATTCAATTTGGGGTCATTTTGGCACAGGTGTAGACCCATTGGGCAATGGATACCCATTTTCGATGGGGGACCTGGTTACACTGTAGAAACCTGGTTACAGCACAACAACAACAACAACAAAAACACTCGCAAAGAAACAATCCATAAACAACCGTGTTTCATGGCCAGGTTCCAACTGGCAGGGTCGTGCATCGGAGCGACGCTACAACCACCACCAAAGAGTGACAAGCCTTGCTAGTTGGCTGTGTCGGGTGGTGGTGGCGGCTTTACCGACGACGCATTTATATTTACGCGATCGAACCTCCCCCCCCCCCCCCCCCCCAACTGAAATTGTGGACATGATGGTAAAGCGGCGGCGGTAACGCGAGCCAGACGTGGGGGCGGTGCGCGCGCGCGAGGATCACAGAGACCCATCACATTCCTGCGTGGGCCCCCCCCCACGTGTTACTCGTGCGCGCGCCACGTGGCGCCGATAACGGCGGACGCGAGAGGGGCCCCTCCCCTTCCGCGCGCCGTGCCCGCTGATTAAAGGCACCTTTTTTCTCTCGTGCGCGCGTGACATGTGCCGGACAATTTGTTCCGTCGAATGGACGCGGGTGTTTAAACTAACAACGGCGATAAAGTGTTTTGAGTTTCCGCGTACGGGGAATTGAACCCAGACGCGCTTGTAACGGGGTCTGCGTCTTTTGACCGTTCCACGCGATTGGCTACCAAGCACAAGTGTCTTGAGTTGTTGTGTGGGGAGCGGTGGCGCAGCGGTTAGCGCGCCGCGCTACGAGTCCGGAGACTCGAGTTCAGTTCCCGCTCAGGGGCCCAGCACCAGTGATGGTTATCTGAACCGGCCCAGGGCCTCCCCGAGGTCGACTCAGCCTTAAATGAGCAGTACCTGGTGCTCATTTAAAGCTGCGTTGAAAGCTTGCACACACAAGCTTTCACAGGATGCATGTCACATTCTCCTCGAGCATCTTGCCATGGCAGTGATCCGGGGTCTGTGGCTCACTGCAGAGATTATTGAGCGAGTGAAACTCAACATTTAGGCCTTCGAGGTGGCTACATTGTAGATGGCTGTACAGCAAGTAGGTTGCCTGGCTACCTGTATAGCAGATGATTGAGTGGTGCCCCCTCGTGTTGCGTTGGTTATCTCCTGGCACTCGGGTGCGGTGTGTAAACATCGGGGAGACAAAGGCGGCCGGGGTGTGGTTCTGATCACCCACGCCCTCATAGGTGCTGCTACTCGCTAACAGCACTTGCCCCAACAGTACGTTTGAAGCTATTCGGGGGATATTTGTCTTTGTTATGAGTTGTAAATATTGGTAAGGAATTTGGGTGCGCAACGGGTGGCCTTATGAACACGGCCATCTGAGTTTGATTCCCGGCCTCGATTCACACCAGCGAAGAGTGACATCCGGACCCGGTCCTGGGCGCTCCCAATAACCGGCCCGCCATTGACAAACGTGGTGAAGTATGGTCTACAACAACCCCCGTGACCGACACATCTTGATGAGGTCTTTATCCAGCAGTGGATTGACAAAGGCCTGCAATTTGTTATTGTCAATAATAGCAAACGTGATTTTTACAAGGTCGAGTCTCATTACGTCTCTTTGCCTATGCCCCTGTTTGTATGCGTGTTGAACTTCTTACGCACCGTACGTAGGCGACCGCGCGAATCAGAGGTGCAGGGGAAAGACAACAATCTAAACACAAAAATATGTTCTAAAGAAGTTTGTTTTCAATCTAGATAATTTAAAAGTGCATAGCTCCAGTGGCTTCCTAACATCGGTGGCTTCCTAACAAGAGCGTTCCAGACGGCCGCAGAATCGCATCTGAAAGCGCCGCGCGATGCGGTGACCACAGTCTTTGTTCGACGGCCACCGCTGCCGCTGCGAGGATGCACGGAGTTCGCGTGATGGTGGGTTATGCCCCTTGACGAGATCAGCGAGGGATTGGGGTTCATTTGTGGCGAGCAACTTTGTGTGTAATGTCCGCTCTCCCTATGCAGGTGCACCCAGCTATAACTTCCAGTGGCGGGGCGTGTGGGGGTTGCAATTGTTTCCTTGAATAAATTAGGTAAAAGCGCAGACCTGCAACTGCTCACGGCACTGGACTCTCTAGAGGGTATGTGTCCTACTCTTAACCATAACCCATACCCCGCAATCAGAATAATTTTATTCATATACTGGAGGAATTCGATGAGCTATGAAGCTCTTTTTCACAGATGTCCAGTGGGGACATCTGCGCCACCTTCACAGGTCGTTGTGTGCCTGGTGTACTCATGACCACGTGTCTCCACGTCCCCATATTGTCAGATCTCTCTATCGCCATGTCCCCGGGATCCCCATCTTCCCGTGTCCACGTAGCATGTGGCCCATGTACCTATTGTCATCGTTAATAGTTAACATTGACGCAATTAACATCTCGCCACCTTGGCAAGATGTTAACTACCTCGCCAGGTATGCAGGCCGTGGGTTCGATCCCGACCTAGACGCCTGTTGTGTATTTGAAGTTTGCGTGTCTCTCTCCCTGTGGTCGCGTGGATTTTTCTCCGGGTCCTCCAGTTTTTCCCTCCACATTTAGAATCAACATCACGCGTTCAGATTATTCGGCTGCTTTAAATGTCCACACCTGAAGCCACTTCGTCTAGCCATCATTTGTGTTAGGCAGGTCGCTTCTGAAAAAGAGCTATACAGGTCAGTGGGCCTTACCTGATCAAATCAAGTTTGTCGTTTAGTAATCATCATCATTATGTTTTGGTCGCCATCCACTGCTGTAATTTACAACGCCAAATCCGTTTCCGTGTCCCCGAGTCAGGGACGGCACTGGGCGTGAGCAGAATGAAGCAAACATCTTTGGCTTCCAGGAAGCTCAATGGGGCTCCCAGATTCAGAGAAAAAATACGGGGGGGGGGGGGGTGGGGGTGGAGTTTCAAGTTGTAGCCAGCTGCTGTCTGGGAGTCGTCTCGCCATTCTTCCCTTACAGAGCAGTCGACTCATTTTAAGCGAAACGAAGTCACCCGCTGTTGCCCGGCGTTATCAGCTTTGGAGTCGCCGTAAAACGAGGCCCAGGGGGCTGCCACTGCCCTGCGTCCGTGCCTCCGTCTCCCCGTGGCATTGCACCCCACCGTGCAAGGAATTATATGGGTGCCCCCACCTGCCCCCCCCCCTCCTCCTCATCCAACCCCCCCCCCTTCACTTCCTCTCTGCACAGTCTGATACCTGAGCAACCAGACCCCGGTGCAGTTGCACCGCCTTCACACTCGACTGACACCATTCCCATAGACACGCATCGAGGCGCCAACAACTCAGATAGGTACCAGTGGCGTAGAGTGAAGGGTCCTGGTACTAGGAATAAAAACAAAACGTAAAAACGCGTTTTTATTATTTTACCAGGTAAGGCCCTCTGAGCTATACAGCTCTTTTTTTTCAGAAGCGACCTGGCTTACACGAATGATAGCTGGGAATGTATAGCAGCAGCCAAATGCTGAATGTGGAGGGAAAAAAAACTAAAGGATCCGGAGAAAAATCCACGCGACCACGGGGAGAGAGCCATGCAAACTCCAAATATACAGCAGGCGTCAGGGTCGGGTTCGAGCCCACGACCTCCTGCATACCGGGCGAGCTAATGAACATCTCCTAGCCACCGTGGCGCACTAATTAAATGGGCCCCACCCCCCGTCCACCACCCCGCCCTTCCCACCTCCGCAGTCTGACTCTAGCGAACCCCACGAGCCCCATGGAGGCCCCATGGGGCCCCGCGTGCAGTTGCACCGCCTGCACCGCACCCAAAAGCTGCCGTCCCGTCGCGCTGTCGCCGGCGTGTCGCCGCGCAGGTGGTGGCGGCGCTGGAGGAGACGCTGACGCGCCTCGAGCGCCTCCGCGCCGGCACTGCCCGCGAGCGCTCCACGCCCACCGAGGAGCTCATCCTGCAGTACAACTGCGGGGACCTCGCGTCGCTCATACTGAGGCCAGAGGTGAGCTCCAGCGCACGCTCCTCGCTGAAGCGCACCCGTCCCGACACTCTGATGAAGGCTGAGCCTCCGCGGGGGTGCGGCAGTGCAGACGCTCAGCTGCGCTGCGCTAGGGAACCCGGCCACCCGACTTCGATTCCCGCTCACGGTCAACGTCGGCGATGAATTTCCGAACTGGTCGTGGGCCTCCCCTGGGTCGACTCGGCCTCAAACGAGCACCTGGTGCGTATGCCCCAGTGTGTAAACATCAGCACTGGGTTGATAGCCACCTTGCCCCGACCTCGTGTGCCGTGCCGGCTGTCACACGTGCTCACACAGATACAACAGGACGCTGAAACGAGGCATGGCTCTCTGCTGCTCCACCACACCACGTGTGTTCTGTAACCCATCCATTGTCGCAGCCAGTGCTGACACCTGTTTCGCCCTCGCCATGAGGCCAACAGGGAGCTGTTTCGGGAATGCGGTCGCCGGGAAACGCGTGGCTGCACGATCCGGCCGACGCATCCTCCCTCGCCTGCCGATGGAGCTCACTGGTGGGACTGTTGTGTGGATTACGTTTGGGCTTCACAGCAGAGTCTGGGCCTGGTTAAACACAGGACGGGTCCGCCAGCATTAATTTCTCAAGCTGACGCAGGTGTTGCCTTAAGGAGACGCACATGTATCCTAAGCTCCTTGCACGGACCGCATAGACAAAGATCCCCCGTGTAGCCTCATCAGACCGTTAGGGAAAGTGCTGTTAGCGAGCAGCACCTATGAAGGCCGGCGCGGCACACGAGGGGGTGAGTGGCCAGCGCCGCGCCCGGCCGCCTTTGTCTCCACAGGGGCGACGTTTTTTTTTTTTTACACCACACCACGTACTATTTTAAGGCCGAGTCGACCTAAGGGAGGGCGCGAATCGAACTCGGGTCGGCAGGTTCACCGCACGCACACGCTCGCACGCGTGCGTGACACGCACACACACACACACCACGTGCATTGTCGGCCGGCGCGCTTTAAACATTCCCAGGGTCCCGGGCAAGGCTGGCAGAGGGCCGTCGGCACGGAGGGCATGGCCGGGCAGGCCCTCATGTGGGAGCTGGAGAAGTATTTCCGCAAGGAGCTCGTCGACAAGCGGAACGCGCGAATGGCCCGGCGCGTCCACTCGCTGCTCGTCCGCCATCCCGACAGGAGCTTCTTTTTCGCGTTCGGAGCAGGTGTTGGATACGCGCGTGCGTGTGTGTCACGCACGCACGCACACGCGCGCACACACACCCAGCATACAGCGCCACACACAGATGCCAGATACACACAAAGACACACACACACAGCATAAGGCATACAGAATATAGGTTTTTTGGGGTTAGATCACGTAAATATATAAATGTGTCGTTCAACCTGCCACCACCCGACACAGCCAACTAGTAAGGGTTGTCACGTAGACAGAACGTGCCAATTCGTTACGAGTACAGCACACCGGTGTGTTGGAGAGCAAATCCACAACATTTACCATCTGAGTATAAAGCATACAGCCCACATATACAGTGAGGGAAAAAAGTATTTAATCCCCTGCTGATTTTGTACGTTTGGCCACTGACAAAGAAATGATCAGTCTATAATTTTAATGGTAGGTTTATTTGAACAGTGAGAGACAGAATAACAACAAATATATCCAGAAAAACGCATGTCAAAAATGTTATAAATTTATTTGCATTTTAATGAGGGAAATAAGTATTTGACTCCTCTGCAAAACATGACTTAGTACTTGGTGGCAAAACCCTTGTTGGCAATCACAGAGGTCAGACGTTTCTTGTAGTTGGCCACCAGGTTTGCACACATCTCAGGAGGGATTTTGTACCACTACTCTTTGCAGCTCTTCTCCAAGTCATTAAGCTTTCGAGGCTGACATTTGGCAACTCGAACCTACAGCTCCTTCCACAGATTTTCTATGGGATTAAGGTCTGGAGACTGGCTAAGCCACTCCAGGACCTTAATGTGCTTCTTCTTGAGCCACTCCTTTGTTGCCTTGGCCGTGTATTTTGGGTCATTGTCATGCTGGAATACCCATCCACGACCCATTTTCAATGCCCTGGCTGAGGGAAGGAGGTTCTCACCCAAGATTTGATGGTACATGGCCCCGTCCATCGTCCCTTTAATGCATTGAAGTTGTCTTGTCCCCTTAGCAGAAAAAACATCCCCAAAGCATAATGTTTCCACCTCCGTGTTTGACGGTGGGGATGGTGTTCTTGGGGTCATAGGCAGCATTCCTCCTCCTCCAAACACGGAGAGTTGAGTTGATGCCAAAGAGCTCCATTTTGGTCTCATCTGACCACAACACTTTCAACCAGTTGTCCTCTGAATCATTCAGATGTTCATTGGCAAACTTCAGACGGGCATGTATATGTGCTTTCTTGAGCAGGGGGACCTTGCGGACGCTGCAGGATTTCAGTCCTTCACGGCGTAGTCTGTTACCAATTGTCTGTTACCAATTGTTTTCTTGGTGACTATAGTCCCAGCTGCCTTCAGATCATTGACAAGATCCCCCCGTGTAGTTCTGGGCTGATTCCTCACCGTTCTCATGATCATTGCAACTCCACGAGGTGGGATCTTGCATGGAGCCCCAGGCCGAGGGAGATTGACAGTTCTTTTGTGTTTCTTCCATTTGCGAATAATCGCACCAACTGTTGTCATCTTCTCACCAAGCTGCTTGGCAATGGTCTTGTAGCCCATTCCAGCCTTGTGAAGGTCTACAATCTTGTCCCTGACATCCTTGGAGAGCTCTTTGGTCTTGGCCATGGTGGAGAGTTTGGAATCTGATTGATTGATTGCTTCTGTGGACAGGTGTCTTTTATACAGGTAACAAGCTGAGATTAGGAGCACTCCCTTTAAGAGTGTGCTCCTAATCTCAGCTCGTTACCTGTATAAAAGACACCTGGGAGCCAGTAATCTTTCTAATTGAGAGGGGGTCAAATACTTATTTCCCTCATTAAAATACAAATCAATTTATAACATTTTTGACACTGTTCAAATAAACCTACCATTAAATTTACGGACTGATAATTTATTTGTCAGTACAAAATCAGCAGGGGATCAAATACTTTTTTCCCTCACTGTAGACACCAGATACACACACACACACACCTACACACTCTCACACCCATACACACACCCAGCATACAGCCCACATATAGTCACCAGATACACACACACACCTACACACTCTCACACCCATACACACACCCAGCATACAGGCCACATACAAAGATCCCACGTATAGTCTTAACATACTGTTGGGGCAAGTGCTGTTAGCGAGCACCTATGAGGGCTGGGACGCCACACCAGGGTCAACACCAAGCCCGGTCGCCTTTGTCTCCCCAGTGGCGATGTTTACTCACCACACCAGGTACTCATTTGTGGCTGAGTCGACTTAGGGGAGGCCCATGACCGGTTCAGATAATCGTCAGCGGTGTTGGCCGTGAGCGGGAATGGAACTCGGGTGGCCGGGTTTGTGGTGCGGTGAGCTCACCGCTACAACCACCGCTCCCCACACACCCTTACACCCTCATATGTACAGACACCCAAATATATACACGCACACTCAGGTCATAGACACACGCGCACGCATCTCCACATCAAAACACACACCCACATTAAATCACACACATGCACCGAAGCCCATACACGCACGTACTCTGTCTACAGTTAGGACCACGGGACTATAGGACCGCAAAGCTACCGGACCGCAAGGCTACAGGACAACTGGGTTATAGGACCACGGGGTTATAGGACCACGGGGCTATAGGATTGTGGGGCTATAGGACTGCTGGGTCATTGGACCATTGGGCTATAGGCCCGCTGGGCAACGTGGTGGGCAGGGGATGTCAGGGCAGCACAATCCATTGTTGCTCCGAACTTCTTTGCATCCAGATCTATGCTTCCCGCCTTCACCCCAACACGCACTGCTCATCGTGGTGAAGTATGGTCAAACAACCCCCACGACCAGCTCTGCTTGGGGAGGCCGTCATCCAGCAGTGGATTGACAAAAGGGCTGTACATATACACGTGTAAATCAGCGCGAGCCTCCCGTAAACCACGTGACTTCTGTGTGGCCACCCCAACTCTGAATCCCTCCCCTCTTCCCTCCCCCTGTGAAAACTGACGGCGCTCCGTGCAGCTCACTTCTGTTTGCTCCTTCTCTCTTCTCCCTCTCATCCCTCTCCTCTCATCATCATCATCACCACCACCCTCTCATCATCATCATCATCACCACCACCCTCTCATCATCCCCGACATCATTGCCCGGTATTTTATTCTACCCCTCCTTCTCCCCCTCCCACCTCGCACTCCTCCTCCCTGCTCACCGCTGCTCATCTTGAGAGCCGTGCCCCCCTCGTTGTCCGTCTCGGGGACTTCCATCCCGGCCCTCCCTTGGCCCTCCCTCTCATTTCTCCCCCCCCACCCGCCCCCCCCCCCCGACGTCGACACCCTATCACGTGGATGCGTAACCACGGGAAAGACAACCGGGGATTCCCGGGGCTTGCACGACATCAGTGCATCAGGTATCAACGGCCTGCTCTTGCGGATGGCGTCACGGGATCCTTCACGGTTAATATTCGCCCGCAGTGTTAATCAGGGAGAGCCGCTGGATTCAAACCACGAACCCCTTGACGCGACAAGCGGCGAACGCGCTACCGCCAGGCTGCGCCGCCGCCCCATAACGAAGATGACGCTCGTCGTACATTTCAGCGATGCTGATGATGCTGCTGCTGCTGTTGGATGATAACGATGCGGACGATGCTCCTGCTGCTGTTGGATGATAACGTTGGTGATGATGATGATGCATTTGTCAGCCATTCCATTGCCGATCCCTGGGCACTCTTGCCCACGAGCGGTTTCATATCGAGGGATTACCCGGGCCGGATATTTCAACCGAAAGAAGAGACGCGTCCGCTGTCGACGATGCCATGCCCACGTGCTGATGCGATGGCGACGGCGTGTTGGTGCGCAGGACACTTTCTGGGCAACGGCTCGGTGATCGACGTTCTACGGCAGCAGGGGTTCCGCATCCATCACGTGCCCCCCGATGGAAACATCGACAGGTGAGCGCGCGTTTTGCACGCACTGGCCCAGTTGGCCCAGCGAGGGCCCAAAGCACAGTTGCCCAGCGCAGGCCTAAATGGCCAATTAGGTTAACCCTTTCCCGAACGTGCATGTCATCAGTTTTCTTCGGAAGAAGAAATAAAATAAACCTTATCGGTACCGAGGCTCCCACAAGGCCATGCGGGAGGGCGCGTGGCACAGTTTGGTTCCAGCTATTGTAGAGTGCGTAGAGCCGTGTCGCAACGGTTCTTTGTGGCGAGTAAGAATATACTTAACAACAGCGGTGCTATGCCTCTCTAAATAAAGTTAACGCTGAACTCGCTCGCGCATGTCCCGAGATTCGGCGGTGAACGGGAACCCCCCCCCACCCCACCCTGGAACTTGCAGTCGTCTCGAAACGGTAAAGGGGTTAAGTGGCTGGCAATAAACAAGCAGCACTTATCGAAGTTGTAAACTATAAGAGTTGACGCGTTTATTGAATGGAGGGAGGGGAATTGATTATCGGCGCTCGGAAGAAAAAGAGGCACCGGGGGAGGGAAGAGGATCCGATAAACCTTGCAGCGGAAAGACGAAACGGATACACAAAGGTTGTGTCCAGTTTGGTGGTCTTCCCCTTGCACGGTTGGCTACGTATGGTGCGAAATAAGTTAAACGTATGTACCTATGTACAAAACAACAACATACGTATGTTTTACAATGCGTATGCTGTCCAAAATGTTTCGGACCGCGGGGAAACAAAGGAGGAGGAAATGAGAGAGAAGGAGCGAAAAGAAGAAATGAAGGAGGATCGATGGCACGGAATTAAAACGTTTGTAGGAGAGGCTTGAAGCAGAGTGAAAGAGCGAAGGGTGGGATGGATTTGCCTGTTGGGGGGAGGTTCCAGGAGGTGGTGGTGGGGCGTAGTTTATGTTATATATGTTGAACTTCTTTCGCACCATATGCAGCCAACCGTGCTAATCGGAGGTGCGGAGGAGAAGGGCAACAAACGACACAAAAATCAGTTTAACCAACACACCAGTCGTGGACAAAGCGTGCGGATACCAACGGTGCAGCAGCAGCAGCAGATCCTGGGAGGCGAGGGGGCAGCCCCTGAGTCCGCAAGCACGGCGGCTTTACGCTTCAGGGGAAAGATGTATACATGACTGCGACTGAGACGGCGGTACAGAGGAAAGATGTAAACATGACTGCGGCTGAAACGGCGGTACAGAGGAAAGATGTAAACATGACTGCGACTGAGACGGCGGTACAGAGGAAAGATGTAAACATGACTGCGGCTGAAACGGCGGTACAGAGGAAAGATGTAAACATGACTGCGGCTGAGACGGCGGTACAGAGGAAAGATGTAAACATGACTGCGGCTGAAACGGCGGTACAGAGGAAAGATGTAAACATGACTGCGGCTGAAACGGCGGTACAGAGGAAAGATGTAAACATGACTGCGGCTGAAACGGCGGTACAGAGGAAAGATGTAAACATGACTGCGGCTGAAACGGCGGTACAGAGGAAAGATGTAAACATGACTGCGGCTGAGACGGCGGTACAGAGGAAAGATGTAAACATGACGACGGCTGAGACGGTGGTACAGATGAAAGATGTAAACATGACTGCGACTGAGACGGTGGTACAGATGAAAGATATAAACATGACTGCGGCTGAGACGGCGGTACAGAGGAAAGATGTAAACATGACTGCGGCTGAGACGGCGGTAGAGAGGAAAGATGTAAACATGACTGTGGCTGAGATGGCGGTAGAGAGGAAAGATGTAAACATGACTGCGGCTGAGACGGCGGTAGAGAGGAAAGATGTAAACATGACTGTGGCTGAGATGGCGGTAGAAAGGAAAGATGTAAACATGACTGCGGCTGAGACGGCGGTACAGAGGAAAGATGTAAACATGACTGCGGCTGAGACGGCGGTGCAGAGGAAAGATGTAAACATGACTGCGGCTGAGACGGCGGTACAGAGGAAAGATGTAAACATGACTGCGGCTGAGATGGCGGAACAGATGAAAGATGTACACATGACTATGGCTGAGACGGCGGTACAGAGGAAAGATGTAAACATGACTGCGGCTGAGACGGCGGTGCAGAGGAAAGATGTAAACATGACTGTGGCTGAGATGGCGGAACAGATGAAAGATGTAAACATGACTGCGGCTGAGACGGTGGTACAGAGGAAAGATGTAAACATGACTACGGCTGAGACGGCGGTACAGAGGAAAGATGTAAACATGACTGCGGCTGAGATGGCGGTACAGAGGAAAGATGTAAACATGACTGCGGCTGAGACAGCGGTACAGAGGAAAGATGTAAACATGACTGCGGCTGAGATGGCGGTACAGATGAAAGATGTAAACATGACTGCGGCTGAGACAGCGCTACAGAGGAAAGATGTAAACATGACTGCGGCTGAGACAGCGGTACAGATGAAAGATGTAAACATGACTGCGGCTGAGACAGCGGTAGAGAGGAAAGATGTAAACATAACTGCGGCTGAGATGGCGGTACAGATGAAAGATGTAAACATGACTACGGCTGAGACGGCGGTACAGAGGAAAGATGTAAACATGACTGCGGCTGAGACGGCGGTACAGAGGAAAGATGTAAACATGACGACGGCTGAGACGGTGGTACAGATGAAAGATGTAAACATGACTACGGCTGAGACGGCGGTAGAGAGGAAAGATGTAAACATGACTGCGGCTGAGACTGTGGTACAGAGGAAAGATGTAAACATGACTACGGCTGAGACGGCGGTACAGAGGAAAGATGTAAACATGACTGCGGCTGAGACGGCGGTGCAGAGGAAAGATGTAAACATGACTGCGGCTGAGACGGCGGTGCAGAGGAAAGATGTAAACATGACTGTGGCTGAGATGGCGGAACAGATGAAAGATGTAAACATGACTGCGGCTGAGACGGTGGTACAGAGGAAAGATGTAAACATGACTACGGCTGAGACGGCGGTACAGAGGAAAGATGTAAACATGACTGCGGCTGAGATGGCGGTACAGAGGAAAGATGTAAACATGACTGCGGCTGAGATGGCGGTACAGAGGAAAGATGTAAACATGACTGCGGCTAAGACAGCGGTACAGAGGAAAGATGTAAACATGACTGCGGCTGAGATGGCGGTGCAGAGGAAAGATGTAAACATAACTGCGGCTGAGATGGCGGTACAGATGAAAGATGTAAACATGACTACGGCTGAGACGGCGGTACAGAGGAAAGATGTAAACATGACTACGGCTGAGATGGCGGTACAGAGGAAAGATGTAAACATGACTGTGGCTGAGATGGCGGAACAGATGAAAGATGTAAACATGACTGCGGCTGAGACGGTGGTACAGAGGAAAGATGTAAACATGACTACGGCTGAGACGGCGGTACAGAGGAAAGATGTAAACATGACTGCGGCTGAGATGGCGGTACAGAGGAAAGATGTAAACATGACTGCGGCTGAGACAGCGGTACAGAGGAAAGATGTAAACATGACTGCGGCTGAGATGGCGGTACAGATGAAAGATGTAAACATGACTGCGGCTGAGACAGCGCTACAGAGGAAAGATGTAAACATGACTGCGGCTGAGACAGCGGTACAGATGAAAGATGTAAACATGACTGCGGCTGAGACAGCGGTAGAGAGGAAAGATGTAAACATAACTGCGGCTGAGATGGCGGTACAGATGAAAGATGTAAACATGACTACGGCTGAGACGGCGGTACAGAGGAAAGATGTAAACATGACTGCGGCTGAGACGGCGGTACAGAGGAAAGATGTAAACATGACGACGGCTGAGACGGTGGTACAGATGAAAGATGTAAACATGACTACGGCTGAGACGGCGGTAGAGAGGAAAGATGTAAACATGACTGCGGCTGAGACTGCGGTACAGAGGAAAGATGTAAACATGACTACGGCTGAGACGGCGGTACAGAGGAAAGATGTAAACATGACTGCGGCTGAGACGGCGGTGCAGAGGAAAGATGTAAACATGACTGCGGCTGAGACGGCGGTGCAGAGGAAAGATGTAAACATGACTGTGGCTGAGATGGCGGAACAGATGAAAGATGTAAACATGACTGCGGCTGAGACGGTGGTACAGAGGAAAGATGTAAACATGACTACGGCTGAGACGGCGGTACAGAGGAAAGATGTAAACATGACTGCGGCTGAGATGGCGGTACAGAGGAAAGATGTAAACATGACTGCGGCTGAGATGGCGGTACAGAGGAAAGATGTAAACATGACTGCGGCTAAGACAGCGGTACAGAGGAAAGATGTAAACATGACTGCGGCTGAGACAGCGGTAGAGAGGAAAGATGTAAACATGACTGCGGCTGAGATGGCGGTGCAGAGGAAAGATGTAAACATAACTGCGGCTGAGATGGCGGTACAGATGAAAGATGTAAACATGACTACGGCTGAGACGGCGGTACAGAGGAAAGATGTAAACATGACTACGGCTGAGATGGCGGTACAGAGGAAAGATGTAAACATGACTGCGGCTGAGACGGTGGTACAGAGGAAAGATGCAAACATGACTGCGGTTGAGATGGCGGTACAGAGGAAAGATGCAAACATGACTGCGGCTGAGACGGCGTTAGAGAGGCGCCGGGGCCGCGCAGTCAAATCGATCGATGGACCTTCTATCTTGATTTTGAAGCTTTCGTGACTGCAGGAATCCATACTCTTTGGTTCTTTCGTGGCAATGTCGCCCTCGATACAGTAGACATCGGTGAGCGTTACAGCCGGACGGGTAACGGTGCAGCGGGGGTGGTGCGTAGAGCAACGGGAATGTGAAAAAAAACGCGTCACGACCGCAGGGGCTAACGCCAATCACATTTTATTTGGCTGCTATAAATATCCATGTGACAAGCCAATTGGTCGAGCTATCATTTGAAGCCAGGTGACTTCTGAAAATAAGCTGAAAGCCCGGTGGGCTTTACCTGGTAAGATAAAAATAATAGTTTACTTCTTTTCGGATATATGTTTTTTT